AATAATAATAATAATAATAATAATAATAATAAAATAAAAATGGCTGGGGGGGGTAGAACTCAGTGTGAGGCCCTGGGTTCTATTCCTAGTACTGAACTAACTAAGGAAATAAGCAAGCGAGCCTACAGTCCACAGCCACAAGTCCTAGAATTTACAGTGGAGGAGGGTTTTGGAGGAGGGTATCTGGTGCACTATACTAACAATCTGTCGTTTCCTGGGTAACAGATTAGCTGACTCTGTGAGGAGCCAGCAGTCAAAGGGCGGCCCTGTGAGAGCCAGGCAGGTACCAGCTCCACCCTTGGGGGCACACCCGGCCCTAAAGCCCATCCCGAGACCCAAGACCTGGCTGGCACCTCCTGCTTCCCACCTATGGACTTCCTGCCTCTCACAGCCCTTACCCCCAGCCTGCCTCAGACAGGGTGCCCCTAGCACCCCCAGCCCCACATCTGTCACCCGGGCACCAAAAGCACTGCGGGGTCCCCACTCCCATCCGCTCACCAGCCTGAGAATCCCCAGCTGCCCCAGATGTCCACAGGCTGGCCTAAGGTGACAAACAACAAAACCACAGACCAAGGAGGTGCAAGAACATTTATTTAAAAGCTACAAAGATGAGGCAGAGCCCCTGCTAGCTGAGGCTTTTTGTCTAGGGCATGGGTGGCAAGCCTTTTAGGGACAAGTGCCCTAACTGCAACACAAACCCACTTATTTCTCACAAAGTGCCAACACTGCAATTAAAGCTGAATGCTGAGGTTTTAATTTAGAAAAACAACTCATAGAGTTGACAGAGAGGGCTTTGTGCATCCACGGTGGCACTTGTGCCATAGGTTTGCCACCACTGCTCTAAGGACTTTTAAGGTACTTCAAAGGGAGCACGGGCCCTTGTGAAAGAAATATGATCTCTACCCTATAGATTACATAGGTTTGAGGTTTTGTTTGTTCAGTTTTTGAGGCAGGATCTCACTATGTAGCCCTGGTTGGCCTGAAACTTGTGGTCCTCCTCCTGCCTCAGCCTCCTGAGTGCTGGACTACAGAAATGCGCCACCACACCTGGCATGAGGCCACAATACTTTTTAGGGTCCAATCTATGCAGTGTTCCTGACTCGCCTAGGCAGGGGCCACGTACCCGTGAGCCTGTGGCCTGCCTGATTTTGCTCTGGGGAGGCCCCTGACAACCACATCTGGCAGATGTTTTTGAAAGATCCCTGCAGGTGGTGACTCAGCAGACTCCGTTGGAGGCTGGCCTCGGCCTGATGGAACCCCAGCTCCAGTCTCACTGATGGCTGCACTCATGCGCAGCCCACAGGTCCACAGCGCTAGAGAGGTTTCTTCTGGTCTCTTCCAAATATGACCTCTGCCGGCTTCAAATATGACATCCTCCTGCCTCAGCCTCTGAAGTAGTTGGGATTAGACGTAGAAGGCCACTGCGTCCGGCTCTTCTGTCTTAATTTTTATTTTGTTGTTGTTGTTTGTTTTTGAGATAAGGTCTTGCTATGTACATGACAGTTCAGTCCAAGCTTAAACTCACTATGTAGCCCAGGCCAGCCTGGAACTTGCCTCAATCCTCCTGCCTCAGCCTCTGGAGCACTTAGATTATAAGGGTATACCACCATGCTGGCTCTTCTGACTCTCGCAAGGACACTGTCATTGGATTTAAGGCCCATCCCCTGATCCAGGAGTATCTTATCTCAAAATCCTTTACTAATTAGATCTGTAAAGACTCTTTTCTAGATAGAATCACATGCAAGGCTCTGGGGGACCTATCTTTCAGGGGTGCCACTGTTCACACACCCACCTCTCCAGCTTGGGATCCCCCGCTTCTCCCAAGCTCTTGGATTCCTCATGTCACAACCTATATCAGGGGGTGACCCTGCATTGCTTGAGCACTTCCTAGGGCTTGCTAAATTGACTAGGCTGGTCCCAACTTTATGATCCTCCTGCATCCGTCTCCCAGGACACAGTATTTTTATTTCCTAAACCTGGCTGTCCTAGGGCACTGGTCTTAGAAGACAGTGAACCAAAACTGAGTAGCGCAGATTATTAAGGAGCTCCCTGGTCTCAACACAAAGGGCTCAGGGAAGGACTTCAGCCAAGGGGACCAGAAATTTGGGTCTCCAGAGGGGCCAGGCTGCACTTGTGTACAAAAGCTGAAGCTTCCTGGCAGCACTGCAATTTCCCAGAGGCCTTCGACTTGGCAGGAGAGGAACAGGCAGGGGGGAAGGAATTCCGCACAGCAAGGGTTGTTTGTGACCCTGCGAAGACTTTGATGCCAGCTGGCTGCTCTCCCTAGCTGGCTCCTCCCGACCCTCGTCCAGCACGTAGCTGACCCCATCTGTGTGAGCTTGAAGGCCCTCAGATAGAGGCTTTTGGTTTTGTTTTGTGTATTTTGTTTTTTGAGACAGGATCTCCCTCCTCTCTCTCTCTCTCTCTCTCTCTCTCTCTCTCTCTCTCTCTCTCTCTCTCTCTCTCTCTCTCTCTCTCTCTCTCTCTCTCTCTCTCTCTCTCTCGGGCTGAGCTACTGCCTCAGCTTCCCAAAGTGCTGGGAGGACATGCACAAGCCACGAGGCACGGCTCTTTAAGGCCTGTCTCAGGATCTGCTGGATCTCCTGGGCTCTTTTCCCAGGCTGTACCATGTTCATTCCTAGCATCAGTGTGAAGATTCCACTTTACCACAATCTCACTAGGGTGCTCTCATGTGCTACTTAGATTTCAGCCCACTTAGTAGGTGGGAAGTGTCTCACTATGTCTGTCTCGCCCCCCACCTCTTTTTTGAGACAGGGTTTCCTGATGCAGTTTCAGGCTGGCCTTGAACTCACTATGTAGTCCAGGGTGGCCGATAATACGGTGATCCTCCTGCCACAGCCTCCAAATTACTGGGATCCCCTCCAAAATACTAATTTTTTTGGTATCCGGAATCGAAATCAGGACCGTATGCTTTCTAGTCAGGTGCTGTGCCGCTTAGCTACATGCCAACCCCCCCCCCCAAATTAAATGAAATATAACTTAAAAAATTATTTACCAAAACCTTGAGTCTCTTGTTCAGAAATACACCGTTTTCACCACTTCAAGCCTACAGTTCATAGCTCAATTTAGAAATAGCGAAATAAGTATCCACCATGGGTCCACCCCGCCCCCGCCGGCACCACCGTCGTTTCCTAGCAACCCCGAGCCCCGCCTCCAGGCCAGCAGGCGGTGGGGCTGGAGTCACGTTCTGCCGCTGCAGTCCCTCGGGCTTCCGTAGCTCGAACCTGCCTGGCCGACTTTAGCACACGTGCTAATGTGCGCGTGCGCAGGGCGTGGCGTCCAGCGTACCCTGAGTGTCCCACCCCACGACGCTACCTGCGTGCGCGCGCCCCGTCTCAGCCCGCCCTTCTTATACCATCGCGTCGGGGACTGGCGCGGCGACTGGCGCGGGGACGACGGGCGACATGGCGGCCGCGCTGCTGTTGGCGCTGGGCCTCGCGCTGCTGGACGTCCAGGGCGCCTCCGGGGCCGGTAAGGAGTGGGCCGAGGTCGCGGGGACCGAGGAGGAATTCTGGAGGGGGGAGCCGGGGCTTGAGGTCTTGGTGGGATCGGGGATCGGGAGGAGTCGAGGCCAGAGGGGACGAAGGTGCGGGGGGAGTCCCCGTCCGGGAGAATGGAGCTATGGGCTGATCGGTGCTTTGGGAGTTCCCAAGGGCGACGCCTCTGATGTTTGGGGGTCCTGTAGGGTCGGGGTGTAGGGTTCATGGCTTTGAGGGTTCCCAGCCTGAGACTTGTGAGAGATTATCCTGCGGGTGCTGAGGGCACCTTAATGCCCAAAGAGACAACAATGTCTTGAGGATTAAGGAGGCCCTGAGAACACAGGAGTGGAGGAGCCTATTTGGAGTTTCCACCCTATGGACTGGAAGAGGGAGAGGTGAAAGTGTCCCCTGAGGAATCATCAGTGCCTGGAAATGATGAGCCTGCGGTTTGGTGAATCCCAGGCTGAGCCTGCAGGCTGAGGGACGCCAGTGACCCGGGGGCCTCGGAACTGAGGTGGGATAGGGTGGAACTGAGGTGGGATAGGGTGGAGGAGAGCCAGGGACTTGGGGTTTCCCTGAGAAACCCCCAACCTGGGCTATACCTGGAAAGGAGTTCCTGGGCTGGCTGTGCTTGGGAGTGGTGCGCACAGGTTGCGGGAAATCCCAAGCAAGGCTATCCCCAGGTGCCTCTGCCAGGGTGTGTGGGTGTGTAGGACGTGATCTCCTCGGTTTTTTATGGCAGAGTGGTGGTCCCTTGCCAGGGACCTGGTCTGAACACTGCATGAGGGCTTTGGGGGCATTGATGCTCATGGGTGCCACTGGCCAGGGGAGAGGAGGTCCAAGCCTGGGCACTTAAGGGACCCCTTGGTTGGAGCCAGGTCTTGGGCTGGACCTAGGCCTCCTTAATCTGGGCCCTCAGGCTGGACCCTGAAAGACCTGGGCAGTGTGGAGTTGAAAGACAGGCCTTACTCCCATGGATGACCCCCCCAACCCCCAGACTCAGCTGGACAATGGCCATTGTGTTCAGAACCAGACCTGGGGGATTATCATTCTTGGTGGGATTTAGCTCCTTCTGGGCAAGCTCTGTTCTCAGTGGTTCCCTAGTTTGGCCTTCTTGGGGTCCTCTGATTTTTTTTTTTTTTTTTTTTTTTTTTTTGCTTGTTAAGAGGGAAAGGGGTGAGATGTCTTCAAGGTCACAGGGAGGTCACCTGGCCTCCTGGCCAGGGCAGAAACACAGTTGATCTTGAAGACTCTGGCACATGGGGTTGGTGCTGCCGTAGGGCCATGAAGGGGGTCCCACAGAGGTTAGTGGAGAGGTGTTCTGGTCTGTGCTCCTGTGCTTGGTGAGGAATTTTCTTCCCTTATTGAAAATCCCTTCGGGTTCTGGGTTAAAGATTTATAGTAACAAGCATGTAGGGGACAAAGAGCAGAGGGTCTAAGGCTCAGCTGGAGAGGGGTGGCCACAGTGGCTGCGTTGGACTGAAGAGTGGGCAGTAGGCCCCAAGGAGGGGGCTGTTCCGCACCCACCTTAACATTTCCTAGCCCTTGAAATTGAGATGGGCTTCGTGGGAAGGGCTCTGGGCATAGCAGAAGGCAGGTCCGGGGGTGGCACATTTAGGAGCTCCCAGCGAAATGAATGCAGAAGACCACCCACTCCCTGATGGGAAGAGCTGTGGCGGCCCCACAGCCACTCTGGGTTACGTGGGTAGAGGATTTTTGTCTTGTCCAGGGCCCAAGCAGAGTTTCTCCAACTCTGCTTGGCTCAGCTTCTGGGCAGATTCCCCCACCCTTTCCATGGTGCAGCCACACAGCCTCACCAGGCAAAGCTCAGCTCATGTGGATGAGAACTGTACCGATTGGTCTGGGGTATTTGTGCTTGTTTTCCTCTGCTCTTTGGGCCCTACACGTGGAGAGAGTCAAAGATCTGAGGGGCTGGTTGTGCCTGTTATTTGTGCCTGTTATTTGCACCTGTATGGTGCTGGTCTTGGAACCTGGGTCCCTCCCATGCTGGGCCCCAGAGCTCCACCCAAGCCCCATAGTGCTCCGGGGCCTGGGAGAAGAGTAATCGTGGTTTCAGAGAGGCCACCTACCCAAAGAGTCCTCTAGGGGGCTCTGCCGGTGGGGGCACAAATTTGCTAAGTGTGGGTTCCACTTTATGGCTCAGGTGAGAGGCCAAGCTCCTCCCAGGTGGAAGGAGTAACTGCTGTGGCTTGGGTCCCAGAATGCTTTCTTACTCCTGTCTCCCGAGGGTAGTGGGGAGGCACAGGCCGTCTCCTAGTTTGGACAGTGCAAGCCATGCAGGCTTTTTGACCCCACAGCCAGCTGGCCCTGTTCCCCGACTGGCTGTGAGTGGTCAGGAGGAGGGCTGTTTTTAGATGAAGGTGACTTTTGGAGGGTGTGGGCAGCGATCATGTGGCCAGCACACAGTCTGGACTTCTCCAAGGTGGTGATGGGTCAGCTGCTCCCCTTATCCTGGAGCTCTCAGAGCTTGCTTTGCTGACAGCCTGGCCCTTTGCAATTCTAATGCCACCCCTGCAGGCAGCACCAACCATCCCAGCGGCTGCAGCATTATGTCAGAGGCCATTTGGAGGGAGAGTGTGGACATGGCACACTTGCCTCTGGCACCACTGGCAGAAGTGGTAGGGGGCAGCTGGGACAGGACCTGCTAGGCCAAGAGCGGCTACTTCCCTGGTGCCCTGGATATTGACCCAGGCTATGAGAGGAGCGAGTGCTAGAGGTGGGAAGGAGTTGCAGCCTCCGCTTCACTTTCTGCCCTGACACCCAGCCCTCAAGTTCTTTTTTTTTTTTTTTTTTAAATGTATTTGGAACAGGGTGTCACTACGCAGCTAAGACTTGTAGTGATCCTCCTATTTTCAGCTTCCCGGTGCTGGGATTACAGGCGTGCACCCCCACGACTGGAGTCAGGACTCAGCACGCCCAGGGGTAGGGCTGGCAAGGCAGGTGGTGTCAGGGATCAAACCCCAGTTCCTGCACTTGCCTAGGCAGGCGCTTAGTCTGCTGAGCTATCTCACCTGCTGAACTATTGCACTGGCCGTGCAGCCGTCAAGTTCCAGTCACCTGGCACGGTCAGGGAGGCCAGTCCCAGGAAATGCAGGTTACCAGGAGATCCCTTGTCGAAAGGTACCACTAGAAGTGGCTTCCAAGTGTCCTGGTCCGGTCCTGAGTGCCATGGGCCACTCAGGTAGGTAGTTCTTGGGTCCTGTACTTGAAACTGTGGAGGAGGTGCCACCCTGCACTACAGCCAGCAGCCTCAGGCCTCGGAAGGCACCCTACACCCTACTCAGCTGCGCATGTGTGCACCTGCAGGTGTGTCCATCTGCAGATGTCAGGCTGAGACCTGCTCCTTTACTGCTTGGAGCTAAGCGTGTGCGCACATATCACTGTGCGCATGTGTCTGCAGCCACGTGTGTGTCCTCACGCCTGCAGATGTGGGAACCTGCCTGTCCCTGGGCCAGCAACTGCCACAAGGAGTCTGAGTGTCCCCTGCCCCTCTGCACTTAGTTCTGTGACCTTGTCTCAAGATAGTACTCTCACTCTGGCCACGCCTGCCATTGGACCTCACCTTGTGGGGGCCCTTCATCAGAGACTGGGGGTCCTGAGGTTTGGCCTGAGAGTGGAGCCTGCCAAGGGCTGGAGAATTACGTGCCCTTGTGGAGTCAGAGGTTTAGTCTGCCCCAGTACTGGCCTGGCCCTCAGTGCACAGAGGATCCACAGACAGACAGCATCTCATGTGGGCTCAGGGAAGGGCTTGGGTGTGAGTTCTGGTTCCCCTGCAGGCTAGGAAGAGTTCCCACTCAGGACAGTGGGACTGGGGGGGCCTGACCTGCTGCACCCTCAGCCTAGGATCTCTGTGCCACCCAGTCCCGTATTTTGTTTGGGGCCAGATGGTTTCAGTTGCTGTCAGCAGTCCATGTCACCCATGAGGACTGGGCCACTGGATGGAGACATTGTCCCTCTGTCCCTCTGCGGGGCTGCCCATGCACAGCAGCCACCTGACTCCTCAGCACTTCTCCCTGGGAACGCAGAGAAGCGCGGTCATCCAGGGCCCCCTCCCAGGAATGACAGCCCTGACCCTCTCCCATAGCTGGCTTCCTCACAGCCCCGATGTCCCAGGAGGGGTGGGCTGGGGGCAACATCCAGCTGCATTGCGAGGCAGTTGGCAGCCCTGTCCCCGAGATCCAGTGGTGGTTTGAAGGGAACTGGCCTGGCGACCCCTGCTCCCAGCTCTGGGATGGCGCCCGGCAGGACCGTGTCCACATCCACGCCACCTACCGCCAGCACGCGGCCAGCACCATGTTCATCGAGGGGCTCACCGCCGAGGACGCAGGCACCTATGAGTGCCGCGCCAGCAACGACCCTGACCGTAACCACCTGACCCGCATGCCCAGGGTCAAATGGGTCCACGCCCAGGCAAGCGTGGTGGTCCTTGAACGTGAGTGGCCGGGGCACCTGCCTCAGTTTCCCCCTTGTGCCACCCGGCCCTGGCTCCTGCTTGGTAGAACCCAGACATCCTGGTCCAGCTTTCTGCCTAGCCCAGGGCTCCAACCTGAAATGGGAATCAACAAGACAGGAGCACAGCCTGGACAGAAACCGTAGCCCTGCCTCCCTGCTCCGCGCATCTGCCTGTCCTGCTCCGTCCGTACACCCCTGTGATCCTCGTTGCTGGCCCGTCTCCCCTGCATGTGTCCAGTGGGTCTGGGGTCTGGGCTTAGCAGTACCTGTGGCCCTCGAGGGCCTCTGCAGCGTTTAGTGCGCTGTGTTCAGGTTTGGACTCCCGAGAGTTGCCAGCAGCTGGGTGGGCGGTTTGCTGTGCTGGAGGTGAGGGTTCCTAACGGGGAGCCCCGTGGCTGTTTCCTGGAAAGGAGGCCTAGTTTTGTGGGGCCCCTGTACCAGGTTGGTCCTCCATGCTTATGGAGAGTTTTAGGGTGTTCTTGGCCTCCTGAGGGAGAGGCCTTGGATGGACAGGGGCCCTCTGTGCCCCTCAACCCCTGGGCACCCCTCAGAGCAAAGTTCCCTCCATCCCGTGCTCATCTCTCCTTGCTGTGGTTCCTAGCGGGCACCATCACGACCTCTGTGGATGACATTGGCTCCAAGGTACGCATAGCCTGCATCATGAACCACAGTGACATCGATGTCACTGGGCACCAGTGGATGAAAGATGGCAAGGTGCTGATGACGGACCAGCTGCCTGACCTGTACACCGAGTTCGAGTGAGTGGGGTGGCAGCAGGGATGGCGGGAAGGCCCGGGGAGCCTTAGGTCCAATATTGGGTTTTGCAGCTCTGTGTCCTGTCGCAGAATGGAGGGTGGATGCCTTTGTTAGGGCTGGGGCGCCTGCTCCCAGGAGCAGGACAGGGGAGGCTTGTTTTCCTGGATGGGGCTCCTTCCACCTGCTTCACTGTCAGGCTGCTTCATGGTGAGATTCAGGACATGTATGGTCTCCCAGGAGGACTGGTCTCACAGCCACTGTCCCATTGCAGGGTGGACAAGAAGAACAGCACGGGCAAGTACTCCTGCGTCTTCCTGCCTGAGCCCCTGGGCAGAGCTGAGATCCCAGTGAGTGGTGAGTGCTGTGGCCAGGAGAAGGCAGATCCAGGAGCCCACTCCCCTGTGTGGTGGCAGCATGAGGGGAGGGGAGTGGCTCTACAGGATGTCAGGGCCCTCCTGTCCACCCCCAGGGCCCCCAGTGATCAAAGCCACCCGGAAGTCTGAGCACGCCAGCGAGAGGGAGTCGGTGACACTGGCCTGTACATCTAACTCTGTTGAGACCTGGGTCTGGTACAGGGTGGTTGACTCCAAGGAACAGGTGAGGCCCTCAGTGGGGACACAGGTCAAGGGAGGGATGAGGCTTGGGCTGTGCCCCTCCCTCCCCAGGTGCTAACGAGGCCCCTGTCAGGTCCTCACCAACAGCTCCGAGAACAAGTATTTTGTGAGTTCCTCGGAGTCCAGGACGGAGCTGCACATCAGGAATCTGGACATGACCTCAGACCCCGGCACCTACATCTGCAATGGCACCAACGCTGAGGGCACCAGCCAGGACTTCATCACGCTGCGTGTGCGCAGCCACCTGGCAGCACTCTGGCCCTTCCTGGGCATTGTGGCTGAGGTGCTGGTGCTGGTCACCATCATCTTTATCTATGAGAAGCGGCGGAAGCCAGATGAGCCCCTAGACGGTGAGTGGCCAGTTGGGGCCCCACATAGGGGGCGGTTTTGTCCCTTCTGTCCCTGGGGAGAGTGGGTCTGCTGTCCACTGCCTCACCACCCTCTCTCCTCCCTCTTGGCTGCAAGTTGGTGTGTTCCATGGTAAGGGGCGCCCTCCGCAGCCTGGGCAGCAGCTGCATGGCAGGGCTGGCTCTGTAGGCTGTCGGCTGTGTGCATGCAGCTGAGTGTGACTTGTGTGTGGCCACTCCCAAAGGCAGGGGTGGGGATAGTAGCTGAATGGGGTGGCCGCTTCTCTGCACACGCTCCTCTCAAGGCCCCTTATGGGCAGCCAAGCCTGTGTTGACACCTCCTCCTCTCTTCCTCCACAGATGATGATGCAGGATCTGCGCCTCTGTAAGTCTTGGCCTTGAGGGTGGGAGGCGTCTCTTGTGGGGCCAGCACGTGGTCAGTGCCAGGCCCCAGTACCACTGGGTGCTGAGGCCCCTGCCCTGTGTCTGCAGGAAGGGCAGCGCACCCCATGTGAATGACAAAGGCAAGAACGTCCGCCAGAGGAACGCCACCTGAGGGGCATGGTGGCCCAGGTCCTGTCCCCACCTCCCGCGGGAGTCTGCCCCCTGCTGTCTAAGCACCAGACCCACTCACCTCAAAACCCACGCAGCAACAGCAAATCCACTGTAGATTTCCATATTTGATTCAAGTCTTTAACTAAAGTAGGGTTTTCTACATAGAGAATTTTGTTCTTTAGGTTTTGTTGGTTTTTGTGTGTGTGGTTTTTTTTTTCCTCTTTTAAGCCCACATGAGTGCCAGGGAGTTGATGTGAACCTCGGGTCCATGGTCATGAGAAGCTCAGGAGGGTGTGCACCTCCACCGCCTGTGTGTCTGCAGCCAGCACTGTCTCTTGTCCCCTGTATTTTCACTGTTCTTTCCTGAAGGTCACAGGTCTGTCTGTGACCTCTTGGTGGAGAGGACTCCAATTCCCTCCTGATGTCCAGATACCAGGGTCTGGGTCTCCAGAGCTACCTGCTGTGCCAGGGACAGCAGTGTCCTCTCGACGGTGTCCAGCACACAGGGACCCTTCCCCCTCGCTCAATAAAGACTGAGCCTGTCTAGTCTGGTGTCCATCCTGGGCTGGGCTGTAGTGGGAGGCTGTGGGGCATGACTGGGGCTGGGCTTCTGGCTTCACAAGCTCAGCTGTCTCCAGGCTGTGCTGGGAGACAGGGAGGGTGTGGGCTGGGGTCATGGGCTGGGCAGGAACAGGGTAAGCCAGGTCAGAACTCCCTGGATGCCTGCTAGGTCTGGGAGCGGCCTGGGAGCGGCTTGTTGCCTCCCTGTGAGCCTGCTTTGATCCTCAGGCTGCCCTGCAGCCCATGAGTCTGGAGAAGTTGGGGCCCAGGAACTGGAGCAGGCAGAGGCCTAGCAGTGTTGCAGGCTCTTCCCAGCCTACCAAGGACAAGCTGAGACAGAGTATGGGACAGTTACCTGTCAGCTTCCTCAGAAGGGAAGAGGCTGGGCCTGGGAACTGCGGAAGGCAAGTGCTAGAGGTGAACAGAGAGCCCTGGGCCCAAGCCCAGCCGAGGACCGTCCACCCACACGCCCGCACCCAATCTGCAGGTGGGCACCCACGCAGCCATTCCTTCCGCACCGCACTGGGCTCCCTGGGCCCAAGCCCAGCCCAGAATGGGGCCCAAAGGTAGAGGTCACTAGAGCCAGGCCCTGGAGAAATGGACAGTCCTGGGCCTCAGGAGACCTAGAGGGTTCCTGCCTGGACAAGGCAGAGTGCTGAACCTTCAGCTGTCTCAGATAAGGGTCTTGCTGTGTTGTGGGGAGCAGAGGGTGGACCCTGGGACTCCCTGGGCACCCACCACTCAACCATCTAACAGCTTGGGAGGAAAGGAGCAAGTGCGCCCCCACACACAGAGATAGAATCTAGGGTCTTTGTTCTGAGACACAGCCTCAGCCCTGTTTTTTGGTTTTTGTTTTTTACTTTTTTTTTTCCCCCCAGAACTGGGGATTGAACTCAGGCCCTTGTGCAAGCATTTACTCTACTGAGCCATCTACCTGGCCCCTCCTTTTTTTTTTTTTCTTGAGTCAAGGTCTTGCTAAATTTCCTCAATTGAATTGAAAGTTATCTTAGGGCTGGAGAGATGGCTCAGTGGTCTAAAGCACCTACTTGGAACAAGCTTGGCAAAGCACAGGGACCACAGTTTGATCCCCCAGCACCACATGCCAGCTAGCCCCGCCCCCTTGTGGGCTGAGCTGGCCACACACACACACACACACAAATAAATAAATAAAAATTTTTTAAAAAAAGTTAGCTTCCCAGGGGCCAGGGAGATGGCTCAGTAGAATAAGCGCTTGCCTGGCAAGTACAAGGGCTTGAGTTCAATCCCCGGTTCCGCCATAAAAAAAAAAAAAAAATGTTAGCTTCCCATAGTGCTGGGGTCACAGGTGTGTGCCATCATGCTGGCTGGAGATTTACATTTTTCAGTGAGTGGGATAAACCAGGGTTTTTGTTTTGTTTGGTCTTTTTTTTTTTTTTTTTTTTTTTTTGGTGGAACCAGGGATTGAACTTAGGCCCTTGAGCTTGCCAGGGAAGCGTTTATTCCACTGAGCCATCTCCCTGGCCCCAATTGTTTTGTCTTTTTGAGACAGAGTCTCCCTGTGCAGTTCTGGCTGGCCTTGAACTCACTTTGTGACCCAGCCTCGTCTACAACGATCTTCCTGCCTCCGCCTCTCACGAGCTGGGATTATAGGTGTGCGCCACCACACCTGGCTAATCCAGCATTTTTATGCCACATCTGGCCCAGGCCACAACCCTGATCCCAGCCATTTCTTGGACTCCCCAGTAACATCCTGCGCAAGGCCCTGTCATACCCTCAGGTGCTACTAGAGGGCACTGTGCACTGTCAATGGAGGCAGTTTGAAGGGCAGGGTTTGGCAGGGGTTCTTTGGGTGACCTAGCCCAGTCTCAAGACCCACCTGCCTGTTCTCTGCTCCTGCAGCTGGACCCTGGATCCCTATCACCCGTGACCTTGGGTGGATGAAGGGACACCACCTGCAGGGTATTACAGACAAATATCTCAGTGACCTTTGTGCCTTTCCAGTAATTGATGGGGTGCCTGTCATACACCTGAGGGGAAAGGCCACTAGCTCAGAGCCCCATAGGAGCAGACTGCAAGCTGAGGAAAGCAGACATTGTCCTTGTACTTTGGATTACTTGGGGGTGGGGTCACCTAATTCTCCTGCAGCAGCCCTGTCCCACCCACAACCTGGCAAGCACACACTGAGGAGTGGGGAGCCTGAAGGCCACCTGGACCCATCCTGAGGAATCAATTCCATGGGTGACAGCCCCCCACAGAATGGATGACCCGAGCAGAATCCCCAATCCCTTCATACGGGTACATGTGATGATCAGAAAGCTCCCTCTGCTTCATGTCCCACCCTAGCACCTGGGGTCTGAACATCATTAAGTGAGCACCAGTGCTGAGTGTTGGCAGCTTGTGCAGCGTGTTGAACTCTGCCTCGGTTTCCCCATATGTGAGATGGGAAGACATCAAGCATTAGACAAGACAGATGAGGCTGAGCTATTTGGCTAGCCCTAAATGAGGTTCTTTATCAAGGTCTTGTGACATTAAGGAAAAGGCTATCAGGGGTCTGTGGGAACCTTTGGATTCAAGAGTCTTTGTCCACAGCAGGCACAGGGACAGAGCTGGGACAAGGACTTGTTCATGAGTCCAAATCCAAGAGGGCAGCCCCTGCCTTATCATTTCCATTCTGGGGTTGTGACCTGCCTAAGGTCCAGCAAAGGGGTTGGGATTCCTGTGGTCATGGAGGACACAGCTGGGGACCAGAGGAGTGGCTTCCCAGTCATTGGTGGTCTTTCCCACCCAGGAGGGTCCTCAGGAAGGAACAACTGGCCAAACCCCAAATCAATGAGTCCCCCTCCCCACTGTTCAGGTGCTGGGGAAACAGGCCCAGGAGGAGCGCAACAGCCAGCCTCATCTGTCACCTGCTACCCAGACTGGCCTGCACAGGTAACACTGTGTGGCTCAGAGACAAGTGAGTCACACTCTCCCAGACCTCAGTCCTGCCAGGCATAGGTGCCCAGCGGGCCTCCCAGCCAGCCTCATCTGTTGTGTAGGGCCTGTCTTTCAGGACTCCACATCCCACAAGCTCCCACTTGGCTTCTGACCTGGACCTGCTCTGAGGACACAGGAGTAGGGTGGGGAATTTTGGGGTGGCCAGGAGGTCAGGGTCTGCAGGAAGCAGGTCTGACCCAAGGACCTAGGGACAGGGCATGCCAGGGCAAGATGGCCAAGGTGCTGGGGTCTCTGCACAGGTGAGAGGAGCCAGCAGACTTGCATTTGAAGATCTCTGGGCCCCATCCTCCTACCCCAGCTCTACATCTCAGCACTGCTTGCTCCAGCTGGTACAGTGGAGCCTGAGAGACTTTGCATAGTTGTGGACACCAAGACTTCTTCACCTCCATGCCCTCCCCACTTCCTGTCCTGAGTTTCTACACAGTGCTTTGTGAAGCATCATGTTTGTTCTATTTATCAGGCTCTTCTGCTTGGCCCCAGCCTCATTTGGAATACCCTGGGTCAGGCACTTACTGAGAATTGTTAAACTAAATGGATAAATGCAGGGCATGCTGGCTGGGCAGGTGCTGAGCAGGTGTGGAGAGGCCTGGAACCCCAGCTGCCCCCAAACTCCCTGTGACACCCTGGGCAAGAGTAGAAATCATGGGTAGAGGGCAGTGCCTGAGGCCCCAAGTCCCAGCATCCCTTGTAATCAGAGGGATAGCAGAGGTGCCATCATTCTGCCAGGCCTGGTGGGTCCCCTGAAGGCTGGGCCTGCCTCCTCCCTGAGCTCTGGCAACCTGCCCAGCCTGACATCTTCCCAGGGTGAACATAAAAGGTCCCCCTTCAGCTGTAACACACATCTGCTCTGGGGCGGGCTGCAGCCTGGCACTGCCAACTCTGCTGTCTGTCTGCTTGGGGGGAGGTGGTCACCCAGGCAGCATGGGGTCTTGAAGTCCTCAGAGCTAGGGCAGCCCCTGCAGCGGTAAGCCAGAGGGCTCTGCCCATCCTCTGTCAGATGACACACAGCAGGACAGGACCCAGCCCTGTCACTACCAAGCACCTGCTGTGGGAGGACACTCTCATCTCCACCCTGCTGGCCCTGATGCCCCAGTGGTCAGAGGGCATCCGACAAGGCCTGCATCACTGCCCATGCAATGCCACAGTGGGCCCAAGGGGGTCTGAGGAGGACCCAGCAGATGGCAGGGAGTCTTGGCATCAGTTCAGATCTTCAAGACTGTCTAGGGAATCCAAGAGAACAGCAAAGTACCCATAAGGGTCAGGAAATGCCCAGGAGGGGCCAAAGGGGGGGGGCTCAGTCTCCAAAACGCTCCTTTGTGCCTCTCCTCCTTCCCTGCCCCCCAGGACACCATCTCACTCCCTGAGTGAGTGGGGTGGAGTGGAGGGCACCACTCTGCACCAGCCCAGCCTGGCTCTGCCTTCAGCTGCCCCTGTGCCAGGAAGACCCTGTCTGCTCTGAGCGCTGTGCCAGAGGCAGCCAGGACTGAGCCAGTGGGGTAGAGAAACCCGGGAACCCTTGGCTTCCCGGATCTCTAAGGCCCATCAGGCTCATAGGAGCACTCACTGCTCTAAAGGGCTCCCTGTGGAGGTAGGAGATGCCAGCACTGGGTGTGCCTTCCTGCCATGCCCTTTTTGCGGTGATCTGCCTCAGTTTCCTCACATGCACTCTGAAGCGAAGGGCTGTGTCGGACCCCGACCTGTCCTGCAGCCCTAACACACATTACACGATCTCTGTGCGGGTTGGGACTGAGACTCCAGGGCTCTGGCTTGAGCATCTGAGACAGGAAGGAGGCGCGGGGACAGATGCGCCCCGTTGAGCCCTCAGGAATACAGCTGAGCTCAGGCACTGCTAGAAAGGCCCCGGCCTGAAGGTTCTACTCCGTGACCTTGGGCACGTCCTTCCCACCTCTTGAACCTCAGTTTCCCTCCTGGACGAGTCCTGCGTGCGTCTGCAAGGCCTCGAGCCAGCCTGACCTTGAGCCTCCCCGTGAGACTCAGTTTCCCCAGAAC